CTACTTAAATTGACTGCTTGAATGACTGCATGACTAAATTTTATCATGTCAATGGATTCATAAATTTTCTGATAAACTGGGTTTGATTTGCGTATTTATGTATACATTTCTGATGCTTCGGCAAATCTTCATGTGGCGGGTAGCTGATTAAAGAGAATCATGGCTTGTATATGTCCAGAGCAAAGTAAAGCCTTTACATTACATCATTCTATTTTCTGCTTCCGCTTGTGCTCATGCATGTCATGTGCTGTAACATTTTTTTGTAGTTGGAGCAGTGTTTTTGCCTAGTAGGGACACCATAAAGTGGGAAAGTACGACTACCTTGACAAATTTTTTTTTTTTTCGAAGTCAATGCTTCATGCTGCCTGACAGCAAATTTGATTAGCCCTGTTGCAACTCATTCATGATTTCATTCATTGAGGTTTAGGCACATTTCAATCAAACTGCTGGGTTCTCTCGTCTGTACCATCCCCATGTTTTGTTGTCTTTGATTTAGATTATCTATGGTGGTTTACAGTATGTTAAGTGGTTTATTAGTTTTCTTAGGCTCATTGACTTTCGTCCTTCTGAAGCTGAACCCATTATTGTACTCAGTCAGGTGCAATCTATTTTGCAGCTTTTTCTCTGACCTGTTTAAGCTTTGCCTTTATTGTTTTGCTCTATGTCAAATTATGTTTTGCTAGTAATTTCCTATTCTGACATTTTAGTTTTACTTTCTAGCTTATTATGTCTCGGCGAAGGATTCCATGCTTGGATTCATATCTAGACAAGGTTTGTTATCTTCTGATTATAATAAATAATTTTCTCTCTGGCATTCCTGATGGTATTCGCAGAAAATAGCTTCTAGATTTTTTATGCTTTTTCAAGTTCCACACATGTAATGTCTTGACCATCCTTAAGGCATTATGCCAATTGCATATTTATTTGAGCTCATGGAGGCAATGAACATTGTGATATGAAAGCCTAAGTGAAGAATTTTTTTTTTCTCCATAATGAAAAAAAAATAAAATTGAGGGACTGGTATTTGTGGATAATAAATGAAAGTTTTCGTTTCACAATGAAACATTGACTTCTGTTCTAAACATTGTGGTTGCCTTCTGCTTTTGTAATGACAAATTTGATCCTAAAGCTAAGTATCAACTGAATCTGAACAGGTTAACATTTCTCTCTGGCCTCGTTTTAAGATGATATTTGACATGCACCTCAGCAGCCTGCGAAATGCAAATTTCAAGCTGTTATGGGAAGATGATATTCATCCTCATTATGTCATGAGGCGTTATGCTGAATTTACAGCTTCTCTTATTCATCTCAATGTTGAGTATGGAGATGGGCAGGTTAGATACATTAGAATAAGTCATAAGCTGTTGTTTTACAAGTCTTTTGATGAGCTTAATCATCTGAATTATTTATCCTCAAAATATGCAGCTTGAATTGAACATGGAGCGATTGAGAATGGCTGTTGATGACCTCCTAATGAAACTTGCTAAAATGTTTTCAAAACCAAAATTACAAATTGTGTTTCTTATAAACAACTATGACATGACAATTGCAGTACTGAAGGTAAATATCACATCTCAATTCTTCTTCTTGATTATACTTAATATTTGATCTATAATGTTATGGAGACGTTGAATCCATCATGGCTGAAGATTAAAATTCTGGTTGAATTCTTTTGCTTTTAATGTTAATTTCTTGAAAAAAGTGATTATCTGTTTGTATCAGATGTTAAATTGCTGCCACATCTCAACTGCTTTGATTTCTTTCTTTTTAACTTTTCTTATTGGAATCCAGGAAGCTGGTCCTGAAGGTGGGAAAATTCAACTGCACTTTGAGGATCTGCTAAAGAGTAACACAGGATTATTTGTAGTAAGTGACCAGTTTTTAGGTGTACTTAGACCATGTTGCATCATGGTTAAAACTATAGGTTGGGTGGATAGACGGTTGGACCGTGCTTGCAATGATTATCCTCTTTCTAGTATGTGTCCGAGCATTATCATAGTTTAAACTTTAGTTAAGATAGAATGCTTTTTCATTTATCAAACCACATAAACGACTAGGATAAAATAATAAAAAAGCCCATGAACTTTATTACTTTATTTAAATAAGTCTTTATACTTTTATTGCACTCAAATAAGCCCTTAACTTTTAATATGCATTCAAATAGGGCTTAACCTTTAATTTGTATTCAAATAAGCCTTTTATTTTTAATTTGTTCCTAAATAAGGCCTTAATATAAATTAATCTTTTATTTGAAGTAAAGGCTTATATGAATACAAATGAAAGAATAAGCGTTTATTTGGGTGCAATAGAAGTATAGGGACTTATTTAAATAAAATTGAATAGTTCAAGGGCTTTTTTAGTATTTTGGTTACTAGGCAATTATCAATGGAGTATTACTTATTGCAAGAGGTTCATTTTTTCTAAAATGATCCCTCTTTTAGAAAATTGTTGTGTGTACTAACTGGCCCTACATTCTTATTTGTGACGGTGTTCACTGTTCCCCATCTCTTGCACTATGGTTCAAAAGAACTATTGTTGGCAATATGCAGGTGTTGATTATGTCAAACCTGCATGTCACTTACGGGAACAAGCACATGCCTGTTGGTGAAGGGCCTCTTGGCCATTTTGCATTTTAATTTTAAATCACAAAAGATTTTAGGATAGGTTCTAGGATGCACAGCGGGATGAAAGGAAGCGGGCTTAACTTTGTCATAAGAGTAGAGAGTGCTCCAAGCGTGGTGTTAATACTTCTGTTTCCACCTTTCTATTGGAAGCTTATCTTTTCTTCATTCATTCACCATGCAGGAGGAACTGCTAGTGGAGCATTTTAGTGATTTGATAAAGTTTGTGAAGACTCGAGCCTGTAAGTATTCCAGTCGATATCTTTCTTACATATTCTATCAAATGCTTTTGGTATGGTTGTAACTGAGTCAAGTTGACTAAATAAAAAGCTTCAGTCCGAGTGGAATACCAAACTTGAGAGTAGAATCTTAGTTTGAGTATAATTGAACCTTTTCTTTTGTAAGCCTTCTGCAATTCAAAATGTTCTCAAGTTAATTGAGCTAAACTTGAGTAGGTTAGATCAATATCAAACTAAAATTTAGCTCAAACTCGAATATTTGCATATTAGACATAAAAAATGTTGGTTATATTAGAAAAAAAGCCTTATTAGACTCATAAACCACTCAAATTAAGTATTAACAAACAAACTTGGCTCCCCCAGTTACCCGAACTCAACTTAATAGTGAATGAGTTGAGACCTGCATATTTCCAAGTCAATTCCAAGATACTAATAGCAAGACTGCATTCACCTTTTTTGGCACCCTTTATTATGAGATATGACTCATGTGGAAGTTATGTATCAGCGGAGGATCCTAATGCTAGCTCTGAGAGGCCTATAACCGTTGCTGAAGTCGAGCCACTTGTTAAGGATTTTGCGAGCAGATGGAAGGCTGCAATAGAACTGATGCACAAAGATGTGATCACGTCCTTCAGTAACTTTTTGTGTGGAATGGAAATCTTAAGGGCTGCATTGACCCAGCTGCTGCTTTACTATACCAGACTTTCCGATTTCATAAAGAGGATCGACGGCGGTACTGCCCTGAACAAGGATCTTGTGTCCATATCTTCGATCATGTATGAAATCAGGAAATACTCGAGGACTTTCTAATTTTTTGTAATTTTCAATTTAACAAGAGATCTTCCTATCAAGAAGTTGAGTTGGAGCAATGTTGCACGTTCTCGGTATAGTTTTTCTTTTTAATCCAAATTCTTTTTCTTTTAATTCAATTTTGATGAAGTTGAACGACGAAAACTAATGCAAGTTTTCTGTATATTGAATTTGTGCTTCTTTATGCCGTTAGTACTGTTTTCTTTATTATTATTTTTTTTTTGCAAATTTTGTTTTCAAAAAATAAAACAAAAAATCATTAGAAAATGTTGCATTATGAGAACGAGGGAACAAAAAGTAGTATTTTTTTTAAATGAATACAAATCATAGGGTGGTCAACAGTAAAGTAAAAAAATAATTAGTGTCAGATGATCTTATTTATTGTGATATTTGAATTTAAAAATTTTTTAATATGATATATAAATGATAAATTTATTGATATTTTGAAAGTTATTTGTTTGATATGTATATTATTATTTGAAATTAGTTGCGATAAGAGATAGTATCAAATTAATTAATAGACATAATTCAGATATTATATCAAAAAATTTTAAAATTTAGATATTATATTAGGACTTTCATTATATCTTAAGAGTTATTAAGGATATTAATAAAAAAGCAAATTTTGTAAATGAAAATTTCAATATATATTCAATAAAATAGTTGGAGATTTGAGAACCGTTAGAACATATACAAACCATAATGCCAATGAATAATTGGTTTATCAGAAGTTATCAAGAAATATTTTGGAGCTGTTATCCCCGATGTACAAAATAATAACTTGCCTTTTTGGAACATAAAAGGTATATTCGATAATAAGTTGCCTGTTGAATGAATATTGATTTAATTTAAATGGTTCATTCACCCTTCTTAAAGGTGAATTTTAGTAAAATTAGGCTTTTCATCTTCAGTGTTTGTAATTGTTAGGTTTTAATTTCCATCGTAAAAAAAAAAAAAAAAAAAAAACCGTGCACATTAAGTCTTCTGAATTCTTTTTACATACTAAATAAAACAATTACTAATTTTTTATCAGCTTTTATTTGGATTTAATTTTCTTTTAAGATGATTTTAAAAACATATTTTCTCATATCAATTTAATATATTCAGGATTTTACTTTTGAAATGTGTGAAAAGAGAGATGATTAAAGAAAAATGAGTAAGAAGATTAATACGGTAAGTGAATGATATAAAAATTTCATATTAAATTTCTTTCATAGTAATTTAAGATTGATATGGTTGTAAATAGGATCAAGATTTCTCTAAATTTCAAGATCGAATCAAAATCTTTTCATGATTCTACGTTTCTTAAAAAAAAAAAAAAAATCTAATGTAACAGTTGAGTCAATCAAAACCTTGAAAATTATACAATCACATAAGATCAATATACAATCTGCATTTGAAAGTTTGATTGTTGTAGTTGTTACATAATATCTAGCAGATTTGCATATAATAGTTAATTGAAGGTAAGTGAAGGAGTACAGTTCCAAGAATTTGGAGGAAATGAAGATTCAAATCTAATTCTTTTGAGTTAAAAGACTCTTTTTGATCAAATTAAATCAAATGAAAATGAGATCTATCTTTCTCCTCTTTGCTCTGGAGTTAGCCCTCCTTGCCCACATTTAGGACAACTTTTCAGCCCAAATCCTTGGCAATCAAAGCATCTGAAAACAATTTTTTCGTCAGAAGCATATTTAGATTATTTGAAATAAACTATTTCCTCCGTATTAAACATCTGGCTTACTTCCATCTCTCAAAGATGTTCCCATTTTTTTTGTTTTTTCCTGTTCCCTGTAAAATCAATCAATCAATCATGCATGGTTTCAGCATTAATTAATTACATTCACTCTTCTTCAAAAGGAAATTGATATGAATCAGCTTGAAATTTTACATAAAATTCTTTTTATTTACTAAAAAAAAAAAAAAGAAGAATTGTATAACAGCACCTTGCATCCCGGACACTCTATAGCTCCTTTTCCGCCACATTTCTGACATCTTTTAAGAATCTGCATGCAGTACATATATATATAAATATTCATTGTCAGCTATTAATAAAATTAATCATCTCCATCTCTTTCCATTTTTTCTTTTCTATCGAAATCCAAGTGTTGACCAAAAAAAGAATCCAAGACGTACAGGATCTAAATAAATAACAATAACATTTCACAGCTGAAATTCGATAATATTTATATTGTATTTATTTTATATGAACTATATGTAAAATAAAAAATTTATTATTTTAAATTCATATAGTTATATTAATATAAAATATATTTTTATAATTTTTATTAAAATTTTAAATTATATTATTTTTATATTATTTTATATTGCATCATCATATCTTATTTAATATTAAAAAAGAATTTTAGTTTTATTGATGAAAAATTCGAATTTGACTATTTGAGAATGGAAATACTTGTACTAAGCCAAGTGATTTGGTGAAAAATTTCTCTTTTCTGAAATTAGGTTCTGTGACATATTTAATTTCTCATTCTGCATTGACTATAAAAAGCAAAAAAAAAAAAAAAAAATGGAAGATCTAAGCCGCTTCCAGTGGCTGAGTTGGTGGCCTATAATTAAACCATGATTAAGTTGTACTTGGAATTAAAAATACTAGTTGTAGGCAATCTTTCTTGTAGAATTATGGTTACTCAAAATTAGGTAGAACGAAAAAATTTTACCGAGTTTAAGGGACCAGATTTTGCGGCAAAGGCAGTGACAACTCTGGATCTTTGCTGCTTATTTCCATTAACCATGGCGGGACTGCATCTGCATCGAGGAAGAATTGGTAGTGAAGAGAGAGTTGCCATTTTGGGTAGGAAATGGGAATATTGGTGACAATTTTTCATTTTGGGGACTAAATTTGAGGCTGAGCGAAACTGGATATAGCATACCATCACCTATGATGCCCACTTGGCTTGGCTACATCTCTTTATCACTCAAAATTCTCACACACCCAATTAAATATTGCACATACAAAATTGAAAAAAATAAATTTATAAAACGGCTACTCCAAGTCACGTATGATTTTTTCATTTAATTCATATTACATAATCATATTAATAAAAAAAAAACTATTTATTATACATCATAATATCATATGCATGATTTTATTAAAATAAAAATTTATCATTTAATTGTTACATGTAACGTGTAATAAATAATGAAATTTTTAAAAAAATATAATTATATGATATAATTTAAATAAAAATGACATATATCAAAGTGAAGTAACCATTTAATACGATCCAATTCTTTTTCCAAATGAAAACTTACCTTAAGCTCAAATGTTCAATGCACAACTGTACTCCATTTTAGTTGTTAAAAATTACAAGTAGACAAAAATTAATGATATAATAATTTAAAGATATGCTGCTTTATTGACTACTTTTCAATCTTAACCAAAGTTTTCTATAAAATTTTTAAACTTCAAAAACAATGTTAAAATGAGTTAAAGTTTACCTTGAATTTTTTCATAGTTTTAATTTATTTTGACATTAAAAGATGTTAATTACATATGATATATTAATATGCATGAAATAAACTTTACGTGTTAACTTAACTCGTACTTTATAACAATAGTTCAATCGCATGCAACCTCAAATTTCAATTTACGTTACTCTAAAATATTTTGCACATAAAACAAACTTTTAAATGCCAATATATATTTTATTAATTTTAAATATTATTTTTTACATTCACGATTCAAATCGCTTATGTGAAGAATTATTTATTTTTTCGTTCTCTTAAATTTTTTCTAATTATTTTATTTTTTATTTTTTAAAGTTTGTTTAACTTAAATTAATAATATTTTATTTGATTATCTAAATTAATTTCATGATAAAAATATTTTCTCTCAAATAATATAATAAGAACAAATATACTTCTCATGCAAAAAGAAATTTTTTTTAATTTGTAAAAAGAAACCTTGTTTTATTTGATTTGTTTCTAGAACGGGCTTACACCCCAAATTGAACCCAAAGACTTGTGTCTGATTGGGCAACTAGCCCACTTTTTTTTTTTTGGAGTTTTCTTTTTCTTACCAAACACACTGTTTTGAAAAGATTAAAATTTTTTTTTTCAGTTAAAAACTTTCATTAGCAATCTATAAAATAATTAAAAAAAACCCAAAATACCTTTATTTATTTATTGAATTCTAAAGTTGATATGCATGTGCGAGTGACATCGGTCATCATTTAAGCATGGTTTTGGGCTTTAGTTTGTTTGGGTTTTGAGCTTTTTTTTTTTTTGGGTTGGGTTGTTCTATTCTAAGGGATGGAGTTTCTTTTCGTCTCCACTATCGCTTCTCATTTTGCAAGCATTTGAAACGAGTTAATTACATTTTTTATACTTAAATTTAAAAAAAATGTACAAATTGATTTTTAAAGATATAAAATATATAATTTTCACCCAAAACTTTAAAATATTGTATAATTTGCATGTTAAAATTTAAAATTATATATATCATATTAATCTAAACTTTAATTTATTATCTATATCAACTTATATATGTGATGATTGATAAATATTATTAAATTATATGTTCATCGCATATATTATTAATATATTTTTTAATATAAATTAAAAATATATATTTTTTATTGGAATTGTAAAAATTATATAAAATTTGTCAATCAATTTTTTTCACGTAACATTTATATCAAACTTTTACAAAATATTTAATATCTCATCTAACAAATAACATATATTATAACTAAATTATTATGGTTAAATATTATATAAATGAGTTAAGTTACCAATATTAAAATTTAAATTAAAATAATATATATTATTTAAAATTTTAAAATACAAATTATCCATTTTATTTTTTAAATATTATTTATATATATTTAAAATTTAGATATAAAAAATATAATTAACTCCATTTTAAACATATTTTTTACCCAATACGATTGATTCCAGCTTTTCCATTAATTTGAAACAGTTTTTTTTTTTTTTTTTTTTCTTTTTAACTTTTATAGATTGAATGAAAAGTGTTAATTTAGGCTTATTTTGAATTTAATCGAAGTCTCGACACGCTATGATTTGAGCAACTATTAAATAAAAAGAGTTAACTTAGTCTTCCTTCGAATTTAACCGAAGCTTCGATGCGGTGCGATTTGAGCAACTTTTTGCCTAACCGTGTCACAGTTTATCGTTTGGCAATGGCAAGCATCCTCATGGTGGCGTTGAGAGTAACGGGCTGCACTGTATACTCCGATGAGACTGGAGCGTCATGGGTACAGTGGCTCACTGTGATATGTATCGGACAGCAACGTCCACACGATTTACTTTTTGTTTCTTGTTTTTCCCTTAAACTTACAGTAATAGGTCTTAGACACCTCTAATGAATCAAAATATTTACATTTTTTTAAATTCTTTTCTTCTTATTTTTTACCCTTATCAAAATATTACATTATTATTTATAAAATAATTTATTAATATATTTTATATTAATGCATTGATTGATTAACATTTTTAAAAATTTCATAATAAATAATAATAAAATATATAAAAAATAATTTATTAATATATTTTAATATTAATATTTTTAATGATTATTTTTTTATCTCATTACTATCGTTCTTTTTACATCCAAATATAATACTCAATCTCATCATTATATTAATTAATTTCATCATAATTGTTGTTTTTAATATCATTAAAATCAATTAATGAGAGTTTAGATTTTGCCACATTTTTAATATGATATAATTGAATTCACTATATTATGAATTAAATTCAAATGTCAACTTCAATAAAATTTATTTAAAATAAAATTTTTTATAAATTTTTTTTAATTACACTTATATTAAATTTTTTCAATTACAATTATAATAATTTTTATTATTATTTTAAATATAATTTGAACTAAACTCAAACTTATATAAATTACCTTTATATTAAATTTTAAGTTTAAAAATGATATCATTAATTTTATTCTTTTGGTTAAAGATACATCACATCATTTACAATCATGACATTTTAACAAATTGTGGAATACCATATGATTAAATATTCACATATTTTAACTCTATGAGATAACCTACTCCAATTGAAACTTCAATTGAAACTGATTCAACACATAAATTAAACATTGATGTATCTACACAAGCTTTCATCATCTCATTTATAATAATTATTTTATTCTTGAACTTATTGTAACAATCAAAAAATTTTGATTACATTAAGGTGAATTAAATTTTAAAATAAATAATAAAATAAGAGTTCTTTTTATAAATTAATAATAATTTTTTAATTTTACAATCGAAATTAAAAAATTATCACATACATATTTTATATTTTAATTAATTTTTTAATGCACTTTAAAAATTTGTATCATTTTGCTAATATTACTCATGAAATTTAAAAATTTTATTAACAATAAGGGAGATAATTTCCCGTAAAATAATAGATCCTATGTTTTGCATACACACGTTTTAAGTCTTGCATTCTAAGTTTTGCACCGCACAAGCTTATTTCAAGTTTTGTATGGTTCTTAGGCAATAGGTATTGTGAATATTGTTAAAGTTTTGCATACGAACGTAATGTAGAAAAAAACAAAAAAACAATAGCTAAGATTTGACGTCATTGGTGAGAATTATTTAAGTCATATTGAAACTAATAATAGAGGTGAGAGTAAGTATTATATCATTGAGATTAAAATTAATTGTAAGATATATGTTTAAATTTATACTTGTTAATTAGGCGGTTAGGTTAATTTTGAATTAGATCACTTTGGTATTGAGTCACTTTTGGGTTTGGCTAATTCTGGTTCAGATCATTTCAGTTCAGGTATTTCGAGTTTGATATCCAAATTATTTGGGTTCGGGTTATTTTGGTTTCGATCATTTTGGGTTTAATTTATTAATTTTTTGAATTAAATTAAATTAAATTTAAACAGATTATTTAATCGCGTTCGATTCAGATTAAGTTATACTGACTCTATTAACAACAATTACGTTTTTATATAAAAAACATTATATTTTATTAATTACAATGTTTCTATACTAAGAAATGTTATTGATATTGTAAATATAAAATTTATTTTGTTATTAATTTTTACAACCAACTACATTTAATATGTTAAAAATGTAGTGCTTAACCATAAAAAATTTAAAATTTTAATTTTGAAACAATTTACTACGTTTTTCTTTTAAAAAAATTGTTTTTATTATAATAAATTTTTTGCATAACATATTATAACATATGACTATGTTTCCGACATAATAATGTTGTATAAATGAAAATTTTTGATTTATTTGATTTTATTTTATACAATATCAACTATATTTATAATTTAGAAATGTTGTTTTTCTAAAACTTTATTAGTTGAAAATAAATATTTAAATTTATAAAATTCAATTATACATAATCATTGTCAGATATCCAATTGTGTGGATGTAACTTTGTTTGTCAGAATAGATCTCAATTTATCATACAATTACGTTGATTTTCAATAGGGAAACAAATTGTAAAAAATTATTAATGAGGTTAAAAGAGGATGACTTTTACATTTTACCATAAATCTTAAAAAACTTCAGAGAGAAGTGAGTTTCTGATCAGGGTTATCAATTTTTTTTTAAAACTAAATCTTAAAAAATCTCAGAGAGGGCATTGGTTCTCAAAATCTTGGATCTAGGGAAAACTATGATACCTGAGGTTTTCTTTGATTTTCAGGGCATCTTGTATTCAGATTTACTCATTTGGTTGGATGGAATCTTGGTTTATTAATTCATGTATAATTATCATAATCTCTTTGACAAACTGTAGGTAACATTTTATTTTGTTTTAATAAAAAAAATCCAAATGACAAATGGTGCCTGCTGTTAGGGGCATTTGATGGTAAAAAAGATATAGTAATCTTTTCCCTTCTTTAAGCTTTTAACAAACAATCAAGGGGCATTTTAGTCATTTATGTTGACCTGACATGTTAGATTGAC